TTTTTAATACTGCGTTATGGACCTCAGGAACAAGATTAGCAGCATCAGAGCAGTGGGTATGGTTAAGCAATATGAAAACTATTGACAAAACCTATTGGAATTTTGAACCAAGCTACAAACAGGGTACCGAGTATTGTTTATCCGTCGCTCCTTTAATACAAGATCCTACTCGTTTTTGGATAAATGAAGATTGTTCAATAATACATTATCCTATTTGTCAAATTGTGTCTTCAAAATAAATGTTTGGCATACCTATTAGAATAGATTGAAATAAATAATTAAATCAAATAGTTATCAGTTTTTGGCCTCTTAATCCATCATCAGAGACTCTATAAAAGAAAAAAAAAACGGAGCTGTAACAATATAATCAACTCTAACATTACTAAACATTGAATAAAAACAAAAACTTGTACACTTACTCGTCAAAAACTTTAGAAGAAACATGAAAAGTGAACTAATTTAAAAAAGGACAGCAACAGACCAGTCCCAAGTCTCCACCATAGCTTGCAGCTTGGATAATTGAAAATAAAAAAACCACACCGAAATTCCGTAAACCTGGTGTAAAATGTGGTTAAATTTTAACAAATGAAGTATAGGTTCATCCGATCATGTAGAACAAAACACTCCAAACAATTCAGAGAAAAACAAACTGCTAGTCTTCCACATGAAGGGCAGTCAGATTTTGCCAATTGCTACCATGAGGCGAAGGCAAGTTGGGGTACAAAAAATAAATACACGATTTTTTTTTAAAAAACCTGACCATCTTGACAGTTTACCAAAACAGACAGTTGACATTTGACAATGAAGTTGTCAAAAAAATTGCCAACTTGAGAAATTGAAATGAATTTCGTGAAAAATTGTCAAAAGTTTATATTGGCTGCGTTCATCCGCGCCATTTCAAGGAGCGCTACAAAAGTAGCGATCACTTACGCTACCTGATCGATCTTTATGCACGGATGAACCATGTTTAAAAGTGACATTTGTGTGGTTTATTTATTTTACTTTTGAGTTGAATGTCTCTGGTTGAAGATTTGTTTGTTTGTTTATTTGTGGTTTGTTTATTTTTCAATTGCTAATATGACCCTACTAGTCAGCAAGCAAACCGACGACGTAAGTGCGTAAGACAGATCAGTGATCACCGATCAGCGTAAATAAAATGCGCTACTTTTAATGGCGGCCGCTCCTTGAACGAAATGTCAAAATACACCGTTCATACGTGCCACTCGAGAGCGCTACCAGATCGATCAGGTAGCATGTGGCGCGGATGAACGCAGCCATTGAAAATGATAAAAGTGGGTTGGTACCACTGAGCAAGCAATATCAAGTTATGGCGGGACTTTTAAATTTTAAACAGCAAAAGATTACAATGATTAAATAGAATTATAAAATATACAGTAAATGAAGGCAAAAAACATATTTTTTTATAAAAATTATTAAAAATTAAAAAGTTGAAAACAACAGAATTGTGCATGCGGACCCCAGCGAAACCGAAGTCGCAGGCAGACCAGCTTTTCCAGATAAAAGAGGAGGAAAAACCGTCCTGGGGGTCGATTCTCGACTTTTATTCCCATGGGAAAATAAAATTTTCCCATGGGAATTCAGTTTTCGTATTCTCGGCATAAGCGATGGAATATTTTCCAATGAGAAGTATGGGAAAATATTCCCCTGCTTGCAAGCATTGGAAATTGTGTTTTCCAATGGGAATTGTACTAGAGTTTGCGCATTAAAGTCGAAAATTTGACGAAAGACCACGCGAAAGACTAAGACATAACCAAAGATTATTGGATATCTTGGATTTTTGGTGAAATTGTAGTTAAAATATTTTTTTTGTGTATTTATAAATTGATATTATTTTATTTATGTGGGTATATTATTTTTACCTCTCTTTCACTAAGAAACTGATTTTCTTAAATTAGTTAGAAATTGTGGGAGCTGCTAAGGGACTGGCAAATAGGTAACACAAATTGAGAAATTTGTAGTAAATTTAATAAGACCTTTTCGAAAATTTTATTATTTCCGTTAACGAAAGAATTTCTTATATATATAGTTTCTCGAAACTTTCGTTGCTCTTCTATACAAAAGCTACTTTTTCTTTTTTCAATATGTGAAAAGAAAAACTAAAAATAACTCGATAAGTTTTAATTATACATAATCGAATATTTTCACTTGTCCTCGGTCAAGCTAGCGATTGCTCGGCACGGCATCTGCTCCAGCGCAGAGGCTCGGCAGGTAATCGGTTACCCAAAAACCACAACAAATACAAATAATACCAACAGTAAATTTTAAAATATCTTTAATGTTATTGGTTATTTCGAAATATTCGTGAACTTAATATCAGACATACGTGAAACTATTATTTCCATGGGAATGTCTATTCCGACAAGTTCGAGAATTGCATAACCTATTACCATGGGAATATAAGTAGTGGAATCTTTTCCCATGGGAAAATTTTCCAATGAACTCGAGAATCGAGCCCCTGGCCACGAAATCAGCAATCGCCGGAGAAGGCAACATCAATTCCGCTGCAAAGAAGATTGAAAGCGAAGCTGGCTAGGTAACTTCAGACCAACCGTTACCAATACTCTTAGAGGAGGCACTTTGCTATTGAGATGGATTTGAGTGTTAACACATGTGACATTTGTTTTATTAAACTCTCTGTGTATCTCAAGGTCTTCGAGCAGATTTAGTTTAAAGTTGCAATTAAAAATATTATGAAGAACAGTGACATTCTCAGAAGGAGTGAATTTTTTAACAATAATGATTTTATAACCTTGAACTTCAACCCTCTGCAGTACCAAGCCAAAGACAGGAATCTCACTGAGCGTAGGTAAACATGCGACAGTATTCCAGGCAGAAATAGCAGCAATATATCACTGCGCAAAAGAAGTATTAAGACAGAAGGTAAATGGAAAAACCATTGTCATATACTCAGACAGTCAAGCGACGTTAAAAGCACTCAGTTCCATGCAGGTACACTCAAAGCTTGTGTGGGACTGTTTGGAAGCCCTAACAGAGCTGGGTAGTCAAAACAGACTAACCTTAGCCTGGGTACCAGGCCACAGGGGACACAAGGGCAATGAAGAGGCTGATTTACTAGCCCGAGAAGGAGCCTCAAGTGCTCTTATTGGCCCAGAACCCTTCTGTGGTGTAACAAAAACAACTATCAGAACATGCACAAAGCAGTGGATGTTTAAAAAATCTCAGGAGTAGTGGAAAAACTCACCAGGACAGAGACAGGCCAAAAAGTTCTTAAAAGGACCATCGTCTAAACTCACCGAGCATCTACTAAGCCTTAATAGGAAAAATACTAGAATACTAGTAGGTCTATTAACAGGGCATTGTAGGCTTAACAAACATATGTTCAATTAAGACAGATTGACATCCTCAGCTCTGAAGTTAACAAATTGAAAGTTGAAATTCGGAAGCTCAAGGATAGTAAAAATGATACCGGGACAAGCAGTGCTGAAATCATTAATGAACTTTATGAACGCCAAAAGAGGGCCAACAACCTGCTGATGTTCAACCTTCCAGAGCCTATCAATACTTTAGAAGATGTAAATCAGGTCAAAACCATAATAGCAAAAGCCGCTGGTGCAAGTACTGAAAATTTCAATGACGTTATAGTTTATCGCTTTGGGAAGAAGAATAAAAATGGACATAGACCTCTAAAAGTTGTCATGAAATTCCCTCGGGATGTGCACCAAATTATAAAAAATAAAAACAATATTGCTCGGGAAAAAAAGATCTTTATACACCTTGACCAGGGGCGGTTTCTCCATTGGTTCATTTGTGCAGTGAACACCCAGTTCAATTTCATAAAGACACATTATTTTAAAATTACATAAATAACAAAAATATAAATTTAATTTTAATATTTTTATTTTCATACGTGTTAATCTATATTTTTTGGTACATCATTGCTTTCTGGCTGATCGCGTCTCTGTGGCACAATATACCTAAGTATACCGTAATTGTGGCGCATTATGATGAGTGAGCCTAACACGAGTGAGACGATTTGAGGAATACATATAGCTAAAAAGAGAAAACAACACGCCAACAGATCCTTCAAACTGTCAAAGAATACATTAATTGGCGCGCAGCTCACAAACAAGGTTGCCAAACCAGTGTTGCCAGTCTAGTACAATTCACAATTGTACTAGATGTAGTACAGTCTGCGTGCATAAGTGTTCACGTGTAAAAATATATATATATATATATATATATATATATATATATATATATATATATATATATATATATATATATATATATATATATATATATATATATATGTGTTCCTTATTTGGGTTTGTTATCAATAATAATCCCCCTTTTTACTCTTCAATAAATTTAGATGTCACTGCAATTAAAATTCGATAAATCTGGTACATTTAAGGAATCTGGTACAATTTTTAGACAAATCTGGTACATAACAAAAACATATTCTGGCAACACTGTACCAAATCAAACAAACTGTCAACGTCAATACTGTCACTTCGTCGATTTTAATAATATTAAGATTATTTTATTTGTAATTATTTAAAAAAATGTGTTTGAGAACTGCAACTTTAATAAATTGAAAGGATGTGTTTCAATGTAATGATTGTTCCCGATAAACTTCTAAGGCAAGGTAAATAAATAAAATATTTTAAGGTTATGTTTTGTTTATTTATTTTATAGTAAAGTTTTATGACTATAATTTGTTTTATATTTTGATTCAGTCTAAGACCATCCAAAACAACTTCAAAATGGTCTATTTTGTACACAATTGTAAATACTATGAAGGAAGAAGTATGCAAAGAAAATTTTTTCCCACAAAACCCAGGGAAAAATTTAATTATTCTGATGAAGTAATTGCACAGCTTATACAATACAGCTCCACAACTCCGTGTCGGCGTCTTTGATCTGGCGGTCGAGAACCAAGCAAGACGGAATGGTGCTACCTCTATTAGATTCGAGGGAAAAGTCGGGCCCGGATTAAACAATTTTTTTATTATTGAAAAAATTGAAAACCTTGGCGTAATAAGGTTGGTCACATGCCATATTAAGTAAGTTTTGGGAAATTACATATTTAATTTGTTTTAAATCTTTCAAATATAATTAAAAAAATTATTTAAATATAAATATTACGAAAAATAGCACATCTTTCGGATTAGAGGTAAAATAATTTATATATGGCTAGTAAAATCCTCGTTAACAAATGTTTTGAGCTAAAACAGTCACTTCACGACAAATTGTG